GCGGGTGCTGGCTTTGTGACATGCGGGGCGGTGGGGGGGGGGGGGGGGGGGGGGGGGGGGGGGTTGTACCACTCTCTCTACTCTAGTCATTTTAGAACACCAAATTCTCACACAGGAGAATGCAAATTTTAGTGTTGCCTATAAATTTAGAACAAGACCAAATTAAATTTTAAAGGTCTCAGGCGAGGTCTCCTCTGAGACTGCACTGCATGTCACAAAGCCAGCATGTGAGGGGAGCGTGAGACCTAGACCACAGTGTACCCCTCCCTCTGTCATTTTAGATAATAGTTCATCTTGTTTTTAATGATCATTAAGCAAACTTCCAGATGTTGGGAAGTAAATGTATCCTCACACAGAAAACAAGAGTTCTGGAGTTAGAAAAGAGGAATCCAGAACAACACAGCAAAGCAGTGCTGCCTGCATCCTTACTCCATGGGAATTACAAACGACGCTCAAGTTTTACATTATGCAGCACATGGAAGTAATTTTTTATAGTGACGCTAATGTGCTATTTCAAACGATCTGTCAACCTTTTTTTCCCAGTTGGTGTTTCTATCAATGCTCTCTCAGAGAAACAGCAATCCATCATCATGATGGATCCTCGGATGCCGTGGATTTCAGTTGTAGAATGTCTCAAAAGACGACACATAATCAGGACAATACATGTTTATGTGCTTTTCCTTTAATGAATAACAGTATGAAAAGTTTAGATTAGGATCTGTGTGAAATAATGCATGAGGGGAGAATTACATTTCTAATGATAGTAAATACTATTTTGACTGGCAGATGTGTTTTCAAATGGATCACTGTTGACATAAAGACTCTGTTCCAGTTTCTCTGCTATCCTCTTCATATTGAATACTTAGAAATAAACAAAGAGCTGTCAAGAGTATTTCTATTATTTAAATCAAGTCGCAAACACTGAGGAAAGTAATATCTTAACACACTAAAAGAAAAACAATGACAAACTTCAGGGTATCATTTAGTAAGTCTGATACATAAAACATTTTTTAAAGTACAAGGTATTTTTGTTTTCAACCTCTGCGGCAGTGAGCACAGTAACCTTGAGTATATCTTGACTATATGGCGTGAGAGCAACGGCCTCCAGAAAATACAATGATGTTTCCACTTACATTCACCTGCATAATCAGAGGGATAACCAGTCAGACGCCGCAAATAACATGAGCGGCCAATTTAAGAATCGTAAATCCCACAAGAGCTTGTTGGCATTTTCACTGAAGTGTTAAAGTAGTTGTTAATTTTGTTTTCATGAACGCTAACTTTGGTTGGCACACACAGACTGTGGTCAGGATATGCACGAAAGGGCAGTTGTTTAGTTTCTTTATACTGTTTACTTACTCTGTCATGCAATTTCAGTTTTGCAGGTCTCCAATTTTGCAATCTCATTCGTTGTAGTTTCAGGCATTTTCTCAAACCATGAATTACTGCGGGACTGCTACCTACGTATGTGAAGAGATTTGAACTCCACGTTAAATATAGCAATATATCCTGCTACAATATAAATATAACTCACACGCAACAACTTTTGAAAGAGGCCATCATAAGGAGTTTTAGTGAGTATGGAAGTATGTCTTGAAATCAAACTATGTGAATGAAATCTTGATTTTGAGCCAGGAGGTACCCCTTGACAGAACTCACCTCAATAAACTGTGGACACAGTTAAGTGGCCAACAAATGCAGAGCAATGTCCATGATTACCTTTCATGTCAAATAGAGTCCTCCTAAGTCTATTCCTCTCTAAAATGTATGAAACTTTCATTTATGAGGAAGATTTTTTCAGGCTGCTGCATGCCTTGTGCTCCTCTTCATTAAGTAACCATGTAGCTTCTCCAAGGGTGGAAAAATATCTATGGCAATACAAGGAACGTGAGGGTGTCTTAACGTTATTCAACTTCTATGCAAAAGAGAGAAAATAAAAAATGCTTGAAAATCTGTACAAGGCAGGATGATTTTTTGACTAAAAAGTAGTTAGGAGAAATTTTTTTAAAGTTTTGACAGATTTAATTACCATCATGTGAATATGTTGCTTCTTGGAAAATACATCTGAAACCTATTACATGTCATTAACACAAATGATATGAACATTATGCGCAAAACATGACAAATGCACCACCGGAGCCAATGTTTTTTTTCTCCAATTGCCTATATCCAGGTCAGGGTTCCAGTGGCAACAGTATAGACAGTATGATCCCCTGGGGGATCCCAAAGTGTTCTCCAGGTCAGCTGGAAGACATATTCTCTCCAACATTTCTTAGATCTCTAGCAGGTCCGCTTTAAATCAGACAAGCCCGGTACCTAATATGGATGCCTCTTCAGATGACTATTTATATTCGCATTCACATTTTTTGTTCACAATTTAAAACCTGTGAGCGTATGGGCACGCAATGGAGATTGAATAACTGGTACGAAAGTGGGTTTTAAGTCCAATTTAGACATAATATGGGCAATGTTACAATTCCAAAGAATGAAAATAAGTAAGACAATGAAAGCTTCGCATCACTCCAACGGGTGGGCAGAGAGTATGTGGACAGGGCAGCTTGGAGGTTGAGTGTGGGGGTGTCCAAGAGACAGCACTTTGGTGGGGTGGGGGTATGGTAGCCTGAAAGCCTCTTGATCTCACTTACCTTCACTCATGAGAACATCGTAGATAACCTACTGTAGCAGTTGCTCAACCCCCACCTGAACAAGACATCTATATCAGCGAGTTTCTTGGGGGCATCTAGGGCTCATCTTTGGAGATAAACATGCAGGGATGTCAAAACAAAGTATTAAAGAAATACCACCTGAGTGGCAACGATTTGGACCCTTGTAGACTTCAAGTGAGTGTTGATATCTTGTCCATGATTATATTACAAGTAGAGGAGTTGACACGGAGCATTTAACTGAAAGCTTAATGCTCACATTGAGCAGGTTGTAAAAATGCTCAAAAAACCATCACAGCTCTGATTCTAAATGTACAGGAACCAAACAGAACATCTTCATCACTCAAGATACGTTGGGGAACTTGGTTGCAAGCTTTTTCCAAATTCACAAAACACATGTAGACAGGATTAGCAGACTGTCATGATGCCTCAGTTAGCTGAGAGGATAAAAAGATCACCATCCTGCAACCAAGAACGAAGGAATCCAAATTGTTCTT